GTGAGTGCGCAAAAGGTCTCACTGCTGATCTCGCTGGGTCTAGAACTTTTAAGTGCAGCTCTTTGGAGTACACACCTAAACTTTATACTGAAGAGATATTTATATTTTGCGGCTTGCCTACTGATAAGTTCATTAGGGTAAACTGCTGAATATAGTAAACTAGTTGCATACAGATTAAGAAAACTGTGTCAGCAGTCTGGGGATTCCCGCGTTTGCTTGTGTACAAATTCTAAACCTACAATCTTTAATCTGTAGCAGCCATAGTGCTAAACACGTGTGATTTCGTTAAACTGCATTCTGAGCTTCGAATGCCATCGAATGACATCTCGCCATTTTTGACGTAGCCATCGCTTAAATCGGATTGCACACGCTGCAGATCATTGCTTCGGCTTCTTGTAGTGCTAGTAGCTTGCTCCGTTTTGCCTCCCATATGCTAGGAGCGGACCACTAAATTAATCGGGTGTCGTTCTTCTATATGCCTACGTAACAGGGAGTTCTTTTATGTACATGTGGGCGAAACTAAATCGTTGCCCTGCAACTCTCGATCCGTCCTCCCTCTCGACAAACGCCTCATTGGGCTTCCCGGTAAAGTGCGATCCACTCTGTACAGCTCCTCGATTGGGCCGCAGCATGGACAACCGACATCTAGGAAGACACATGAAGGGTTCTTCTAAAATGCCGGATCTTATGTCTGCATTCTGGTCATTCTAATGCTAACTTAGGATGCATCAGCACGTCAGAACGAACGCTTTCGCTGACATTCTTTTGCAAGGCTCTAGGGTCTGGTAGCATAGCCTTTACATACAGAGTACCCAAACCATAAAGGTCATAAACTACTAGTTTTCCGACGGATACACAAGATGGGACTCAGTAATCACCTTGAAAGCCTGTGTCAATTTGTCAAGTATTCTGAAGCGAATGGAATAGCAAATGTATGCATAAGAAATAGGATTGAACGGAAGAGGTCTTTGAAGCATTTGTGTGTTCAGATCTAGGTATTCAGTTTTGCAATTTGTAATACCCTGACAATAGGTGCGACAGATACACAGTAATAAACGTCTCTTAGGTATGCTAGAATGGCTCAACACAGAATGAATATGATGGCTGAAGTTTTGAGCTCACAAGGTGTTGTCTTTGCATATTGTCTTGACACACAAGCATCGTGGGCGTCATCCAAGACTACAATCAGGGACAGTTTCAAAGAAGATGTGTCTGGCGGAATTACGCAGATATGGTAAGTTCTGCTTTGTAGATTAGCTACAAATCATGCAGGAATTATTTCTGTATCTCTTCCTCTGACCATCAGTCTATTGGCTTTCATGTTACTCTGGCAAAGGGCGAACGTTATTCCAGTCTGTTCACCGTATCTAGTGAACTAAGAAGAAACGAGACCCGCAGTCTGCTTCTTGAGCCTATAAGCGGAGGAGCTGGGACGTGGCCCCTGTTTCGAGTGCCTCGTGATATCAAGACGCGCTCCTTAGTTTAAGATAAGAAGATATTTACGGCTGGGTGCAACTTGTGCTATGAATTAGCTTGTGTAATGAAGCACATGTAGTATGGTATAATGAAGTCCCGCTTTGGCCGCTAGGGGGCTGACTTTTAAGGTGTGGTTCAACCTTTGTCGGTAACCTAATCATGCGCTGTATGGAGCTGCGCGTGGAGTTAAGCAGACGATCTTCGTAAAGCGTCACTGAGCTTTATCTCAAGCAGCACAGGCGGTCCGGCTTACGTAGGCTCTGCCTGCATATCAACGAGTGTATGATACGGAATGAGGCCCCTGCCGTGGGCCTCTATATACAGTTCTACCTGCATCCGGCGGTGTCCTATTCAACTGCGTATGTGGAACGCTAATCCCTAGTACCGCGTGCGACTTGAGATAAAGCACTTGCCGTCTTCGAAAAGTTGCGGGGCACACAGATAGGCGACCAGCCCGAGGTCCTGCTGTATATGATATACTGTTTGCAGCAGTAGAACCGTTTATTGTGAAGGGGAATCCCACGGTAACGAGGCATCCTGTGGTTCATGACGTTAGCATTTATGAGTGCGGCGAGAAGGTCATTTTGCGCAGTGGTTCGCACCCACTTTTCAGTGCTTTAGATCGATCCTCACCGGATACTATTACGTGCGGAAAATTCCATTAGCACCGGCCGGGGAGCCGTCGGTAGACGATAACATGTTCAACTATCGGTCAGGCAAGGATTCCAGGAGCGACCGTGTGTGCCAGGAGGCTTGCAGGAGGTCATTACCGATATACATACAAGCAGCTAGGGGTAGGGCCAAGGGGACGCCAGCCCCCTGCACCCCGCCCCTGGGTCCGCGGACGGTGTGGATAATAGTTTGTTTCAACTAATAACCGACGGGTGTACCGATCCTATTACAATAGTGAACCGCCCGCCATGTCGTAATCGAGGACCGACCTCACCCCAATAAGCCTTTGCTTTATAAGCATCAGGCGCCATAGGTGTGGTACCGCTGTCAAACGCCTTTGACATATCAAGGTCAAAGAGAGATGGGAACAACTGCTTGAGATAGGTGTCCCTGGCCTCGGTCAGACCAAATTGCGGAGGTCCCGCTGACAGGATTGGCGGCAAGACCAGCGCCCTTATAGAAACCCGTTGGTTGACGAATTCATTTATAGATGCTACGCGCTGCGACCGCGATAGTCTGGAGGGCTATATAAAGCATCAGCAGAGCACCCCTCACGCGCGAGATAATAGCAGTGTGGTTAATAGGGCGCAATGTTACCAACTTTCCTGTAGGCTTCCGGCGCCTTCTAGCCTTGGCCCGAGTGACCGCATAATTGGTCCATGCGCGGCATGTAGACCTGTTTTGGCATTGATCAGGCGAGTCCAGCAAGTAACACTATAAAAGAAGGCCATAGGATATTGTTCACACCCCAAACTTACAGTAACTAGGGGCGGGATGACGTCTGAGGACCAGGGGTCCCAGGATGGCTTGGTCGAGTGGAGCTCGCCGAACCGGACAACTACATGAAGTCTAGAACTGTACCCACGGGCATCCGGGACACGGCTTACCGGGCACGCTTAAGCAGGGCCTGAAAGGTGTGGAAGCTTATTTCCACACGGGCCGCTGGGGATTCTAGAAAAAGTGGGAGCTACAGGCTTCACATAAAATCTTTATGGGTACACAGACGTTTCGGTGTTGGGACTGAGTCTTTAAGGAGGCAAATGCGTATATACGTCCAATAGTTAGGTGTTTTGTTATCGTGAGAGCCGCAGCAGTCTAAACGGCTACTCTTAGCATTGTTCGCACTATGTTAGTGCGGCTATTATCTTGGCTTGGTTTATGGCTAGCAGCTTCGCTCTGGCCGAGAAAAGCAGTGGTTGTGCCAATCTCGCGTTTCGCACTCAGTAGATGTGAGCAAGATATTGACCGGTTATAGTAATACGCCTCGTCGTAAGCTGGACGGCCATCCTGGTTTGGTGGGCATTTTGTTATGGGGTCACACTTTTAGAAGAATGGCCTTATTACACAGCGACCAGCGTGGAGCAAGAGAGCGTCAAGACACGGGTGTGGCGCGGTATTTATCTATCAGAACAACGCTTGGCCTGAGCGCTCCCCAAATCAGCCGATAAAGAGAAATTCATCCAATTGTTTTTTGTATCGGCGCGACACGGGCAGAAGGGGAAGGGATTCGCCGTTGGGACGAGGTGGCTGGACTTGGGGGGGGGTCGCGAGCAAGTGACAAGAGACTGCGTCTGTACGTAGGCTGGATGGGGGATGAGGGGCATTAAGGTTGCGTTAAACGTAAGACGAGGCTACACCATGTGCACTAATACATGTGGATCACTACCCGAACTTCGGCCGGGCCGACGAGCCACACGCGATTGATAGGGATTGCGGCGGCGAATGATAAACTAAAAGTAGTCCATTATGTGTATTCCTCCCTGGTATGGGAGTCGGCTACCTGTGCGTCGCAGCCGGGGCCTGACATGGAGAGTTGACCAGGTCTAGTGTAGGGGCCTAGCCTACATCGTGTGTTTGGCAGCGATGCGGAACCAGGAAGAGGGATAGCCACAGGCCTGTATGACATGCATCCAGCAAGGAGCCTTGATCACTGCGCAGGGAACACGGTTAAGACGCTCTGATGAGGCCGAACACGGCACCATAAGGAGCCATTGACCCCCCTTAACTGAGGGTATCCAGGAGTGGTCTACAGCACCCCAAATATATCGTGAGATCCCAGGATATCAGCCGTAGTTCCAGAACTGAATCCATTCGCCTCAGCCGCGTTTCGCAGGCTTTAGCAGACGCTTTCTGTAGCTGGTGAAGACTATATGGTTATTAACGATGACCGGCGCACCCGCCCGCTTGTGTACAGACGAGACGCGACTGCATAAACCACTGTGTAGGTACAGGAGAGTGCGTAGTCATCCCCTCTGAAGCATAAGGGGAAAACCATGTTTGTCCGGTGGACAGGATTAATAGCATCAGGGTTGGCGAGAGGACATACACGCGTGCGGTCACGGCAAGCTAAGGCGTGTTGAGGGGTAATGGAGTTAAGGGACCTAGCATAATAAAGCGATGCAGAGCGTGAGAAGCGTGCAACGCCTTGGGGTCTAACTAGACGTTTAGCGCAGGTGACGAGACGACGCGCGTTGATGCTATATACCTTAGGCTCGAGCAGTATGGTGTCGGGAAAGTGGGTGAGGAGGGCAGCATTGCAGTCTGGTAGTGGGCGACGAGGAGTGTGGTAGCCTGGGCCTAGGAAACTGTCGCGGCGACCTCCCGCGAACGGCGCTGGATCTACAAAAAACCGGCAGGGTAGCTGTGAGTCGGCCACTGTCGTAGGCCTAGATTTGGCCGGCCCTAACCTGGGAGCGGGGGCGAAGGGCGAACAGGGTCTGAGGGATGTACCACGGGGTCCACATACAGCAGCATGGGATGGCGCAGGGAAATAGCTCCGGAGCTGCGAAAATTTATATTCAAAATGCAATTTGCGATCTCCGGTTGTGACTAGTGAAACGGTGGTGCACCCCATGCCGTCCCTCCGGTGGGGGGGGGGGGGGGTGGGGGGGGGGGGGAAAGGGGGGAGGGGTGCCGAGCTGGGGGGGGGTGCTGGGAGTGTGTTGGATGGGGGGGGGGTGGGGGGGGGGGGGAACACACACACACCCACACACAAAAGGGGGGGGGGGGGGTGGTGAGGGGGGGGGGTTTCGGGGAGGTTGGGGGGGGGGGGGGGGGGGGCGGGGGTGGGGGGGGCCGGGGATGGGGACATAGGTTGGGGGGGGGTGGGGGGGGGGGGGGGGGGGGGGGGGGGGGGGGGGGGGGGGGGGTGGGGGGGGGGGGGGGGGGGGCCAAAGTAGAGTTTGCTTCTTATTGAAGCTTTGCGAATGGTGTGTTTCTATACAATATTAATAGTGCGCAAGTTCTGACTATCGTCCTGTTCGTTGGAGCTGGGGCTGGGTAATTGTACGGTTCCTTTTTTAAACCATCCGCTCACTCGTGTACCCGAGTTTTCCCCGCGATACCGTTAACTTTAAGGATTGTGCTCGTGAAGCTCGGCCCGGAGCGTTATGCCCTCGGGAACGTTAGGGAACGCAATTACACGCGTACACAACGCATATGCCGCCAACCCTGCGGTGCTGGTGGACGACTAGGGCTTTGCTATTGACTACAAACGCTGCCATTTTGTCGCGAGCGTTTTTGTAAATTACAACGTCACTTGAGATATGAGGGTGACAGTGTTCGTTGTTCTAGCGCCCGGCAAGGGCCGTTTGAGCATGAGATCCTTGCGTAGGTAGAGTGGAACCGGGCCATATCTGGTACATGAAGCGGTAAATATATGTTGTGGTAGTCGGATTGGCCTCTTTATTGGAGTGCGACACCGTCACGGGCCGTAGGAGCCGTAGTCTGGCACTGCTTGTAATATTACAGGACTCATGCCCAACCCGTAAGGGCATCGGATTTCAAGCGGCCGCGAAAGTAGGCAGTGCATTATGCGACTTTGTTGCACTGCGTACGCCCTGATATCCCGGTTGGACTCGTGCAGTGTACACGGCAATACAAAGTCAAGCCTTGTGCGTATCCATATTAGATGTGGAGCCCGCGGCATATGTGGTATTAGCCCTCTTAGGACCCTATCTTTTATTGACCTTGCCCGGGCGTACTTGGCAAAGGGGGGGGGGGGGGATGGTGGGGGGGGGGGGGGGGGGGGGGGGGGGGGGTGGGCGGTGGGGGGGGGGGGGGGGGGGGGGGGGGGGGTGGGGGGGGGGCGAGCAATGGGGCAACGGCCTAAATGCGTCACCGAGCATGTCGACCGGGAACCCAATAGTACACTACATGCTCAGGGCACAAACCGCAATCCCGCCGCAGCGTTGTGTGATGCTCAGTCGTGACGCCGTCTTTTCTTTAAGTATGGTACTCGCCGGCAGGTAGTCGTGGTTGACAAGGCCCAGCAGATTCCGGGATGAAACCATATCTGAGTGTACTTGGATCGCGTATATACGCACGTGAGGCCCATTAACGGTGCGTCTGATGTGCGAAAGGCGGGGCGGACCGATTATGGGGCGCATGAGTTGTTGGTTATGCTAAGATCGCTTACGATTAGCCGAGGAGACGAGGTTATATGCTAACCAGGCATACGGGGTGATTCAACTGAGTCATGTACTTTCAAGGAGTTGCCGAAACGGAGAGGTGAACGGCATGGCCCCTGTCGCCTTCCGGTTTTGACGGAAGCGGGCACTTGAATTAGTCGTGCTGAGCCAACGCTTACGGTGGTAAAACCGCTGTGTATAATATCCGCCTATACGTTAATTCTCCACTGGCTGGTTCTTGGCATTTGCTACTAAGTACAGAATGTTGCTTTTACGGGCAATCGCCTGGTCTCAGGGTTGCAGGTTGGTCGTGCCCAGCCAGTCAAGGCGCTCCAGTAGATCGGGGCCATGGAGCAGGATCGACACAAGGGTCCAGGTCGCACAGACTACCTGCATTCCCAGCTTGGGTGCACTGGCTTCGGCGGGCGGATTGTCAGCCGCAGTGGTAGGCCAAGGCGCGCCCCATCTTGCTCCTGTGAGCGAGGACCAGGTTCGGTGTTACGGGTGGCTTGATCGTCCGAAGCGAGCGACTGGCCGTATGCGTCGGCGTGGAGACGCATGCCCATTAGCAGTACGGGCTGCCCCTTGTGGGAGCGGTGGTTCGCACAAATAAAATAGCGGCGGGGCATCGGTAGGAAAGGAGGTTGCATTTCGTTGGTGAAAACTCTAGTTTCCATAGATCGCACCATGTTTCAAGAGCACTGAGATCGCTTTGAATGCTAGAGAGACTAGTACGTAGACAGCTAGGGTCAAATGAGAAAATAACTTTTATGTTATCGGCAAAAAGGTACGGCGTGTCATGTTTGAAGACCTGGAATACACCATTAATGTACAGCAAAAAACAGCAGAGGACCCAGAACGCTGCCTTGGAATACTCCGCTGGTTACGGATGCCTTTTTGGATGAGATGTCGCCCAGCTGCACTGACTGTGTTCGGTTGGAAAGGTAGGAAGAAAACCATGAAAGGAGATGGCTGGAGACACCGTATGCCGCTAGTTTAGTCATTAAACCTTTGGTTGGGACCCTATCCAACGCTTTTTAATATCCAGGAAGAGAATAACCAGTGCCTGACCTAGGTCGATGGAGTGTGTCACGTGGATCAGAATTCAACCTGGCAGATTTGACAGGATTTAGTCGGCAAGAACCGGTGTTGGGACCTATTGATAAGGTTGCGTGGCAACAGAAAGCAAAGCATCGTGTCCTTGCTTATCCTTTCCATGAGTAGAGACGCAATAGCTGTATGACTAATGGGACGATAATTGTCAATATTTAGGCGATAACCTCGTTTGTGTCGTGGTATGACGGTTGCGGGCTTCCAAATGGACGGGTAGTGACCACTCTTCATTGAGAGGGTGAAGACATTGAGGAGCATGACTGGAATGTCCCGACCTCCTAGTTTTAAAATGGAAGAAGGCCTACCGTCGGGACCTGGGTAGTGTGACGGTTTCAAGGAGCAAGGTGCTCGCTTGATAGTGCATAAGTCAAAGTCAATAGTATGAATTTGATCTTCAGTGAACTTGGGTATCGTATTTGGCAATGCCAGTCATTGCTAGTGAAGGAGTTACAGAAATGTTTTTCCAACGGAACCAGGCATCCTATGTCGGTCTTCAGCCGCAACCAGTCCAAAAAGTAGATGGGGTTGGATGGAAAGGTTCATTTGTGCCTCCGCGACGCCACAATGTTGTATCAAGAAAACCGCAGAACGGGTAAGAATGTATCTCGTAACTTAAGCCAGTACAACTGAGTCTCAATGCCAGGTTAAACGGAGAGTCAAACGACAGACACACATGACCAGTAATAATGTAGGAATGAGTCAGCAAGCCAACCAATGAGATTGAACCAATCTCTCGCTCACATGGTTACCACAAACCTGCACTTCCAGAACCTCAAGATCATTTCAGCTGCGCAGCATGGGTTGCGTCCTTTGCTTTAATTTGATACCAAGCTTCTGGTAGCTCGAGAAAAGTGGTCTAAATCCATGGCTGCTAATAAGCGGCTGGAGGTCGTATATGTAGCTTTCAGTAAAGATTTCTACTAGGTTCCACACAAGCTTATGCTTAGCGAGCTTCGTAGTATTTGCGTTTAGGAAAGAACTCTCCCTTAGCTCATTGATTTTCTTCATGACCGCACCTACGGTGTAACACTAACTGAGTAGCTCTGCTTCCCTTTAACTATGGCCAGCAGCGTTCCGCAAGGCACTGTCCTTGGTCTTGAACTTCTAAAGACCTTATTAACCAGCTGGCGTCTGTTCTACATGCAGTCGATTTAATTTACGCCGAGAAGTTAAGTCTATGAATTGGAGTCGCTTGTGCGGATGAAGCTTATGTACAACAAGCAAGGTTCGATTCTCTGCATGATTGGTCGATCAGGTGCCAATTACTTATAAAGCACGCTACATACGCCATTCATCCGATCAGTGCCTCCGAAATATTTGGAATTTAACAGCTTGATGGGTTTTTGCTGCCAAACTCTAATTGTGGGAGGGATGTAGCCATTGTTGTTGATATCTTGAGGTAAGTCGCTTCTGCCAACCGGAAACCTTTGTTGCACGACGAACCCTCTTCGCTTGCCTCCGGAGGTGTCCACACTGGAGTTCACTTCTCATGTACGTCCGAGTTTTGTGTGTGGACAACCCGCGGTCTATCCTCATCCTAAATTTTAATGTACCTTGATTGGCAGTGTTCAGCGGGGAAGGTCTAAATGCATTCATAAGTTAGGAAACTGGCCTTAATCATATTTTCTTTAGCGCCTTAAATTTCTCTTCCTGGATTAGCGGTGAGATCGCGGGGATTTAATTTCCACACTACATATCCTTTGAAGTAAACTTGGAATAATTGCCTAAGTTGACATGCACCGCCCTCCGCCTTCATGGTTACCGCTCCAACGCCCCATCGCGCACTTCCTGTAACTACTATATGAAGTAAGAATGATTCGTAGCCCTAGGTTAGGTCCCATTTCAACAAGGACTTCGCTTTCGGAGCCCTAGTAGATATGCGCTGCTGTCCGCGATCATGGTTACCGCTGCCACTGACCAAGTTCTTACTTCCAATAGCAGCTATATAAAACAACGGTGCACAGCAGGCACAGGCAACGTTCTATTTCATTGATGACATCGCTTTCGGAGCGCAAGTAGATATGCGCCGCCCTCCGCCGTCGTGGTTACCGCTGCCAGTCCCAATTCGCACATTGCATAGCAAACAAGTAAAGCAACAGTACCTTTCAGGTTTAGGTGCCTTAAAATTTTCATGATGATTTCGCTTTTAGAGCCAAAGTAGATATGCACCGCACTCCCGCCGCAAACATATCCTTACCTTTGACGATGGTGCCGCCTCTGGTGGCACCCACAGGTAGCAAAAGCATTTCGTAGCAACGAGTAACGTTGCATTTTAATGATGATATTGCTTTTAGAGCAAAGGACACAGTTACCGACGTCCCTAGTTACGTCGCTAATTACGCTTACCGATGCCACTACTCCCTTCCCAGGTTCATCATCCACTAAATGATGCCATGACAATGCGTCACTGCAAAAGATGATTGCGCCTTCCCATGAGCGCAGATCCTTCCCAGACGTCGTACATATGATCAGCCTATTGTCACCTTCCTGTCACACAGGCCTATTTGCCGATACCTATCATAATACTGAATCCGGTCATTTACCGCTTTCCAATTCCGTTAACATTTTACATTCCTTAGAGAACGGAATCATGGTCCTTCACATGGTCACTCCCTGTCACTGTCTCCTTGTCCCACATCGGGAGGTAAACATGCATTCTATAGGTTTCCTGCGG